TTACCTAACGACTCAATGCCACTGAAGTACTGGCCGCGCAGGAGGCCCTCGTTGAGTTGGTTCAAAAGAAGTTCTGCCCTGTGCCACTGCAGACCCTTGGTTTCATTGTGGAAATCGAAGTATATGTAATGGAGTCGGTCCATCAGCTGCTCTTTACTCGAAGATTCTAAGGTGTGCATCTTTTCAGGAGAGAGCATGTCGGACTCCTTTGCTTCTGTTGGTGAAGATAAAAGTAATCTCACCATCTGCTCATACGCCCTTTTCATCTGCTCTTCGCGACCCTTTTGATTGACCAGATTGACGAGGAAGTTCTCTCCGTAGGTCTCGATCTGGTCTGAGAAGTGTTTTCGAGCTGCTGAAGATGCGGCGTCCACACCACGTACGGCAAGTTTTGGAGTGTAATGCAAGTTGTTCACTTCAGCCCAGTAAACTGGAATACTTCCTCGGGTCTGAACAAATGACAGGACCTGCAGCTCTTTGTGGCTCTTCTCTCCAATTTTGCTGTCTCCCATACCCACCCCTCCTGCGAACCCGGAGACTGCTCCATTCGAATCATTCAAGATAGCGATTTGTTCTGTCTCGTTATAATTCGAGACATTTCCATGTTCATCAATTCCACGGGAAAAATATCGGGTGCCTGCTCTGAATCTCGAACGGCGAGTTATAAGAGCAAAGGTGAATGGGGTAGATTTGATTTTGGCTGTAGTTATGCGCAGCATGCCAAACATGACTGGCAATATATATGGGTCGACATCCGACGACTGTCCACTCCTGATCCCTGTGTTTTCGGATAGCCCGGTGCTAAAATCTATCAGGTCGGTCTGTATGAAACGGTTCCAAAAAAATCGGTCGTCCGCTCGTTTCCAAAGAGGCAGCGAAAGGTCACTCTGGGACTGGCGCTGGAAACTGTTCGTGATATCGAGCGAGTAGGAGTAATACATCGGCCCCGTGGCTAATAGTTTCTTTAGGAGTGCGAGGTAGGCATCTTCGTCTGGGTCGTGGAGAGGCGTCTCACGGAGAGGTAAGAATTCAGTCGCAACGACCTTATATACCATATGTCCCCTCAACCTCCCCATTGGTTGTTCTTTTGTAATGACAATGACATATTTATCTATAATAATTAGTTTCATTTCCCCTCCGTAGGCCAGATATCAAAGAGGGGAGCAGGCAGCCATACCAAGCTTCAGTTTGATAATACCCAATATTCCAGCAATGCTAGAGACTCGTTTTGCCTGGTGAGTAGACGCCTTCTCAAGTCGCAGGTCGCCTGTCGGTCGGTCTATGACCAAGCTATGAGTGGTGGAAGCAGAGGCCGATCTGAAGGCATAGCAGTGCGGCGAGGCGTAGAGATTGATGTCACGGAAAGGGAGATTTGGCGACATCTTTTTTCAGGGCAGCCCAGACAGGCTGGCTAGGCTTGAGTGTAGAATGATAATAATAAAAGGTATCTTCTATATTCAGAACATGGCCTATTGGCCTGCTGGCTTTTGCAGAGTGTAGCAGGGTAATAAACACGAAGCGCTTGCTTGTGGGTTGATGTCTTGTGGCCGACGCAGGAGGTTGGCGAAGCGCGACGCTAACTTAACTAACGAGTTCACCAAGTTTATGACGTGGAGCGCACTGCTTTTGCTGGGCAGTTTCAGCCACTGACTTGGTTGGCTATTTATATATCAACACGCAGGGGGGGAAGGAATATTAGCAGAAGACCGGAGACTGCTCGGTTGGTTTTTGATAAGAGTGTTAGAAGCATTCTCTACTTGATATGCTGTCGCGATGAGATCTTAACATACAGAGCAAGGAGTACTATTGCCGTTTCATTCATCACATCTCGACTACGACGATACCCCTGAGTTACTATGACCACAATAAAGTCTCAAAATGCATGGTTTATTCATGATTGCTGTCAAATTATCAAGTTGCAAAAACTACAGAGAACCTTGATGCTTGGTTCTTGATATTATGTCTTTCAAACGCCATTTGATACCCCCATAGGCATTAAGCTAGCTATCGAATATCCATCGCAGTAGCCATTATTTCATGGAGCATATATCCTAATACGCAGAAGATACCCTACTGAGCAGAAAGTCCCTGGAGAATGGAGGAGTTGGGGCTCAACGGAGTCTCACCAATTTCCATGCCTCTCCTCCTGGAAGAAAGGAGGAGCTGGTCATTCTTCGATATATCTGCTATCAACAGGACCGCAGAACGAGCTACAACCTCAGAGCCCTGGAGAACACCCACTGGTTGGCTTGACAAGCTCATGCTCTATTCCATCCAAGAGGGAAACAGACCGTTCATTCGGATGGAGAATCTGGAACGAAGGATCGAAGCAAGTTCTCGAAGCAGGCCTCGATACTGACTCAGTTCACAGCCATAAGATGGTGAGACGTACGTCCCACATGTGCATAGCACATATCCACGGCCACGGCGAATTTCGCACCAGAAATGATATCGACTCTATCTTCAAGGCCCGTTAGAGATTCTTCGGTATATGGGTTGGGTATGATAGCCGGAAAGTCGTTTTTTTTTTTTTTTTTTTATTTTTTTTTTTTTGTTAGGAGGCTGTAAATCGAGAACAGACTGCAAATAGAATAGGGTGTAATTGCACCAATGGCAATCGTGGGTCCATCTCACCCCTTTTGGGGGGATTTGATTCCGTCGCAATACTAATTAATTATTGATTCAACATTTTTGGACCATCTGGCAATCTATGTTGCAAGGCGGCATTGGACCACCAAGGTGAAGCAGACAAGGTTTAGCTGGCTTGAAAAGAATTCCGGGAATGCGATAGGTATGGATGTGTTTGTTATATAACTGCGATGGGTAAAGCGGAGGATAGTTGAGGACTTGTAATGAGTGATAGCGCAATGCCAGGTTGAAATTTATGCATGTAGATGTACTGATATTCATGCTGAAACCGATATTTCCAATCCTAAACCTGCAGGCAGTGAAGTGAAGTGCGATGAGACACCGAAACGCCGGGCTTGCAAGACATAGAAGACATAAAACGTACATCGGCCGCCGTGTAGGGTATATATAGATGTAACGACGGGTCCGGAAGATGATTAGTAAAGAAAAAGGAAAGGCAGGGAGGTGATCATCTCTTCCCCCGATACCGTCCTCGTGGATATCTGCCGTCTCGGCCACGGTTCTCTCTCCTCCACTCTCTCTCCCGCTCTTCCTCCCGCTCCTGTTCCTCTCTGATCCTTGCTCGTTCGCTTTCAATCTCCTCCTGCGTCTTTTCCACTCTGACGGTCGGTTTGGGCAAGTTTTCTGACCAGCGCGGATGGGCACCCTCAGTACACGTCTTCCCGGCAGGACAGAATCCCGCAAGATAAAACCGACACAGCTTCCTCCTCACATGCCGTTTGGCGCAGATAGGACCCAACGGACAGAACCCTTGATCATAATGTTCGCACTGCGGCAGCTTTGCGTCACCAGAGAGATGCTGATACAGGCAGTCATCCCCGTTGGGACAAAATCCGTTACGGGAGAAGGACTGGCATTCTGGCATCCGCCGCAGGTTGTACTCGTGTAGATATTCGCATTTCAGCCCTTTCTTGCACAGCCCCTTGAGGTAATGCTTGCATACCAGACTCCCATGCGTGGACGAAGGGGCTATCGCGGGAGACGAAGAGGTCGATATGCGAGATGGAGTCGGGTGTCTCTCTGCACACAGCGGGCCGAGCGGACAGTGGCCTTCACGGTAGGCCTTGCAAACCGGTACATCGGAAGCAAGGGCAAAGCTAAAGGATTTGGCAACGAAGTCTGAAAAGGCAAACTTGGTGAAATTGGGGTCTCGAGGCGTTCCGGGCGAGACTATTCGATCTGCGATTCTCTGGACTTCGGCCATGACGACGACAAACACCAGCGACAGCGACGGCGACGGATGGCTTGCTGTCCTCTCCTTTTCCCGCTGCGCTCTTCTGTACCAGCGGTCGGGACCTTGGGAGCGTAATTATAACATGAAACGTGTGTCTCGCGTGCTGGGCAGCCCGGTCTGGATGTGTATCTGCCTGTCCCGTTCTCCCAGTGTGCCTTGCAGAGCTCCTTGAGCTTGCTTTCTCTGCTTTTCTTCGCTTTCTGCACGTCTTTTTTTGGTCGTTTGTTTTTTTCTACTATTTTATTTTATTTTATTTTTTTTCTTTTTGGTTTTGGCGCCAAAAAAGCAGGTGTTATTATGTAATCATCATCACGTGAGGGTTTCTGATATAAAACTCTCGTTCGCGGATTAAGCAAGAAAAAGAGGCATGGAAGACGGGGAAAAGGGGCAACGGAAGAAGCGGCCGAGGAGGCAGATAAAACAAGAGCGAGGACAGGAGGCGATCGGTCGGCGATGGCTCCGTGCGATCACTGGGCATGGGCGAGTTATCGCAGCTGGGCGTCTAGACTTGGTCTGCAGCATGCCTCGTGTGAATACGAGAGAGAGGGAGCCTCCCTGACAGGCGCATGGATGATGGAGCGAGGTGAAAGCGCAAGGAAGCCATAACTCCCAGTTGATTGATTATGCTTGCTTTTTCCCGAGCACTAAGTGAAGGTCCTTTCCGTCCGTTCGCGACTGTGCTGGCGCTACCCGGGCTCGTTACCCCAAATTTATACTCCGTCCACCCTGCGCGGCCCTGGCTCGGTGACAGCATCGTCACCACCTCAGACCGCGTCATGTATCAGCCGATCTGGCGCTTCCACCGCCATCCGCGCATCTCCAGAGCCCTCGTCTGGCTCGAGGCAGTGGGCGCCTCGACCAGATTGCTATCGTGCAGGACTCAAAAGAGGAAGAAGAAGCAAAGAATGGCTGCAACGGGGCGCCGTGACCCCCCCTTAAAAAACTTATACATGCAACCTTTCTTCTTCCAGGTATACATATACTCACTTGCACACCACCGTTTCCATATTCATTTTTCGCATCTGCCTCCGTTCAGCCTGGGACGAGAGAACCAACTAAACGGCTGAATTATATTTAATCCGTCCGCTCCCGCTTCCCCTCCCCTGCTGGCTCGTTCATGCATGCGAGGGCTTTTTCTTCTTCCTTTACTCCTGATCGTTATTTTATTTTTTGCTGGTCTCGTGTCCACTTACCAGAAGGGGCGTCCCTCAACACCAACCCTGCATGCTTTTCTCTCCCTCCCCCTTCTCTCTCTCTCTCCTCTCCAGCGCCTCTCCTTCTCCTGTGTCGCCTGTCCTTTGGCAAAGACCGCAGTCGGGTATTCCTCCGTCTATTATCGCCCATGTGTTTTGAGATGTTTCGGTTCAAGCCGTCGTCGTGGTTTTCCTCTAGAGACACCATGGACAGCCAAGCGCCGCAGGTGGGCGCCGCCGCTTCCATCAGCTGCATCGAGCAGTCCCTCTGCCAGATTCCGATATTCTCAAACGCCGTCTACTACCCCAATTGGCGGATATACAAGAGTAGCCCTCCGTCCTCGCTGAAGCTGGGCTACGTCTCGCATGTTTTTTATGCATTTGCTTGGTGAGATCCTTCCCGGCTCCCCACCCTCACCCCTACATTTTATGGCCAGCCCCGCGTAACTCCCTGAACGTTGTCGCGGAGTATGTTGCCCGCCATAGGGTAATTTTCTGATAGAAGGGTCGAGACTGACCAGAGATGATGCATGTTGTCGTGTGTTTTGGTATATAGGGTCAAGCCAGATGGCACAGTATATGTCAGTACTCCCCCTTCCCTCCCTTTTTCATTAGCTTGACGGGGTATGATTGAAAGGAGAATAATTCTAACGCATCCAGTAGTTGAGCGATGAATGGGCCGACGAACAGATGCCGGTAGACGGTGCAAAGGGTTGCATCAGAGCGTTCACCCAGTCGAAGCGGCAATATCCACAGCTAAAGGTCATCCTCTCAATCGGCGGCGGAGGGGCTGGCAGCGAGAACTTTGCAGCCGTTGCAGCGGATCCAGTTTTGACAGCGAACTTCGTGGAGACCGCAAAGAATCTGGTAGACAAGTTCAGCCTTGATGGGCTAGATGGTACGAAATACTCCATCTGCACCTTCATTTCACTTGCTCAGATGCGGACCTAGAACTGCAAACATACTAATTATTCTGAACCCATATTTATAGTTGACTGGGAGCACCCATCTGACCCCCAGCAGGGTATAAATTACATATCTCTCCTCGCTGCTCTTCGAGAACAGCTGCCGGCGCCTCAATACATCCTCTCATCCGCCCTGCCGGCCGGTCAGTGGGCCCTGCAACATATCAATCTACACCTAGCGCAATATTACCTTGATGTAATAAATGTCATGACATATGACTTCTCCGGCCCATGGGTACCGCAATGCGGCCACCAATCTCAGCTCTTCGCTCCCGAACAACCCCATAACGATGCCGCTCATCTCTCATGCAGCTCTGCCGTTTCATACTTGCTCGCCCAAGGTGTTCCGCCTCATAAAATCTTAATGGGTATACCGGTATACGGTCGTGGTTTCCCTGGTACCAACTGTGTTGGACAGTACTCATGTCCCGCACCTGATGGATCCGACAAACCGGTAGATGATGGCGCAGGTAACGAAAAAGAGATAGTATTCGACTACTGTGATCTCCCCGTGCCAGGTTCGATAGAGCAACATGACCCTGAAGTTGGTAATGCGGCGTTTTGCGTCGACAACGAGCAGAATTCCGGGTTCATCTCGTACGATTCACCACAGAGTGTCAAGTTGAAGGCACAGTTTGTTAAGCAGACGGGTCTGGCGGGGCTGTTCTATTGGCACATTGCCGCAGACTCGACTACTGCAGCCAGAAGTCTGATTGCTACAGGGTATAATACCATGCATGATTTGTAGGAGCGTTTATTATGTTGTTGGGTTCTTGTTTGGTTCTTGTTGTTTGAACAGCACATCGGAGTTACGGCATTGTCATCGTTCCTCATGCATCGGATATTGGAAGGTGCTTGGCTTGTAGTTATCCTTGTCTTTGAATCAAAAAGCATATAGCATATTATTACTGTAGCTATTATTCTTCGTATTCAAGAGAGCAGGTACTGATGTTTTATTATCGACCGTCGACCTGCAGCCTGCCCTGTATGTAAGAGACGTTAACCCCTGGGATGTATTACTTGGCTACGACCAGCTTTACAGGCATGGTTTGACCCTCCCTGGGGCCTATAGAAACTACTCCGTGTGTACACTAATTGTGTCTTCGTGCTCGAGAACAAAGTGTATACATTCTACCTGGTTGCCTTTTAAAACAAGATACGAGAAATGAGCATGATTTGGGTACCTTGGCTTATCGTATCTCCATTGAAGGTGACTGACATACTATCTACAGGGCACCACTAGGAGCTATGGCAACCATGAAACAGATACAACATTAGAGCTCAGCCAATAACTAGTAAATGGGAGGAGCTGTTGAATCCTGCCCCCAATATATTTACCCTAACTACCATTGTCACAACACGTCCAACCAATATCATAACACCAGCAAAGCAAGCAATATGTACAGTTATCGCCCGCTACACTCTAATCTTTGACACAAGCGTATCTCCAATATGAGCCAACGAAGTCTCAAAGCCATTGAAGCTCGATGCCTTCCAATTTGCCCCCTTAGCCCCAGGCTTAGCCTGCTGCCCCACAAACGCAACGTAAAGAACATCGTGCTTCTCATGACCGTTATCGCCCGATAAATGTTCGTTGGGAAAACATGCATGGGCAAGAGACACGGACGCCTCGCCTACATCGGTGCCGCCGTTGGTGTCGCCCCATACGCCGTAGAACTGTAGTATATTAGATAACATATCCGTCTCCACCGGCGATTAGGCTTTCTCGTACCAATGTATCATTGCATACCACCGCTACGACGCTGAGTGACTCTACGCCCGAGGTGGAGGGCATGTAGCTTGGCTGCGAGCCCTGGTTACCCAGCACGACGTATGCGTGTTTGTTCGGGTCTAGATCTTCGATGCCATAGCGAGATACCTCGTGTTTGAAGGCTGTTTGGTCTTGTCCTGATGGGTCATTGGCACAGGCTCCCTTGGACCTGTTGATGCCATCGCAGTCAACGTCCATGTCTGCCAGAGCCATGCGGTCTGAAGACCCAGTGAGGTAGATGATACCTTCGTGGTCGCCGCAGTAGGTGAAACCGCCTTATTACATTCCAATTGTTAGTGGCAGCCCTTTCAGGAAGGGAGTAATCTTGATATAGGTTGGGGTGGGGGTATACTTCGGTTGTGCCCGTCGGTGAACCTGGTGCTGCTTAGAGGGGAGTGGCAGCGGTTACTCTATGCAAGTAGCCGTTAGTATGGTGGTAGGCGTGGTGTTTGTCCGATTGATGTATATGAGCACATAGATATATGTAGCACCTGCCTTTGCGTGGTTGTACAACTTCTGCAGGTTTGTAGGTACAGGGCGCCCGGCCGCGGAGGCTAGTGCAGCAAAGGCCAGAACGGCCACGCAGAGGGTCAACTTGAGAACTGTAGCCATTGCCATTGATTTCGAATAGACAGAAGATGAATGCAATGCGCTTTTTTCACCCTTCAACCTGGACTACGCTGGCGGATTTAAAGCAGTTGCAGGAGAAGAATTCCCCATTGTCCAATTTACATCCTCATCCTCATTCCTCCATCCTCCATGCCGAAAGGGATATAAGGCCGATATCAAACGGTCATGACATCCTCTTTGCACGATGCTTCGTCATGCTGGAGGGAAAATTCCGATGCAAGCTCGTGGGATGAGATGCTGTGTATGCTGCTGTCTACGCGGCCATGAACAAGGCTAGAGTTGGACAGAGAGGCAGTTTGGCGAGCATGGAGAAGACATTTCAGGCGAGCATATCAGGATGCCGACAGACGGTAGCCGTGCTCCTCATGGAGATGGCCGAAGGGTATATGTTCTGCACTATCGGTGTAGATAGATGGACATCTGTCGTGAAAGCACGCTGTATCAAGCATGTTTGTTACATAGAGAGGGTATGTGCAGGGCCATGCTGTCAGGCTGCCATGCGTTTAATCCTGGTGGTAGCACCGGGAGTATGTAGGCACCTGTACCTGCATACATGCCGTCCACCCGTCCAGAATGGCATCTCCGTACTCCATACAACCACTTAGTAACTATACAGCATAGTTATCTAGAAAGTTCAACTTGGACGTTGCCTTAAGGTCAAACGGCTCCTTCCTTCTTCGTCAAAGTTAGTCTTCCGCTTACCTAATACCCGTCTTACTAACAAGCTCTAACCTCCGGCCCAAACTCCGCTCTTACTCCGGCCGCGCGGCTCCACGCCGGCGGAAACTTCCCTTTTCTCCTGTTCGACCCCTTTTTCTCCCTTTTTCCTCGCGGACCAGCAAAACAGCCCCTGCCTGTAACCTGTAACCTGTAACCTGTAACCTGGTCCGGGTTTTAGAAAAAAAAAAAGGGACGAAGCCAAGGGAGAATCCACCGCCGTGCCTGCTGTCTCCATCAGACCAACCAGGGACAAGACTCAACAAAACCAGCCTGAGCCAATGGCATGCGTTGTAAAAGTGCGGTGGACTGACTCGACTTTCAGCATTGGGTAAATGGTAGAATCGATGATGCAAAGAGAGAGAGAAAAAAAAAAAATTAATTCTTGTCAATTGAAGTCTGGTTGGGCTGGGGCGCATGACCAGCTGAAAAGTTCAAAGAAATTGGAGTAACCTCGTTGGCTGGAGATGACTGGTTAGTTTCCCCGGTAACGTTAGTTAACCGACCGATCTGAAAACTAGGCGCGTTGCGATTGCGATCGAAGACATACTAGTGGGCGATAGAAAGGTGGGTGAAAAAAATAAGACAGTAGTAGTTAGTTAGTTAGGGAACGAGCGATGACTCCATTGACTCGCCTCTTGACAGCACGTTAGTGTTTGAGAGCAGAACGGGGGGGAAAGGGCAAGAAAAAAAAAAAAAAAAGAGGGCTGAAAGTGATGTGCAAGGTTTCCTTTTTCGTGAGCGTGGAAGATCGGCTTGGGAGAGGCGCCTGGTAGAGTTGGTAGGGCGATGGTGCGATGGGCGAGATGCATGCAAGCAATAATCACTAGTTAGGTTGCTGGCCAAGCTATGATTTAATAGAAAAAGCTTGTTATCATGTTTAGAGGCAAAGACAGTTCGGTTGGTATACACGGTAGTAGCTCGTTAGGTCGGCGATAGACTGGACTGGGAATGGAAAAGGGGATGGGTATGGATATTGAAGTGAGGTATCATTCATGTATCGTGATAGGTATATAGGATGAAAAAACATCAACAAGTCTGTACAAATAATCGAATGCAAAACAAACCTGGTGCCCGTCCGGTATATATATATAGAGCCTTTCCGTACATACATTAGTTCAGTAAGGTAGAGGGAGAAGTAAAGGTAGTGAAAAAGGAAGAAAAGAGCAAGAGCAAGAGCAAATTGGTATTATTTATTTCCCTCCGCTTAGGATGGCGGGGACGTTGAGGTCGACTTTGAGGGTGTTTGCGGCGAGCGCCTTTGTGTAGTATGGCAGTTCCTTGCCGTGGGCGACGCTAGAGTTGCCGAGGATAGTGACGGGGACGATGCCATTGGAGTATTTGCTTTCCTTGCCAGTCTGCTTGAGGACGTAGGCGAGGTCGGCTTTGGCCTGCATGGGAATGTTGTTGTCTCCTGGTTTGATGACGACGTCGTGGAGGACAGAGTAGCCGATTGGGTGACCGTCGACAGCCAGGTTAAGGGTGAGGTTGCCCTACATAGATTAGTATATAGACATAGATATAGATATATTGAATGGCTGGGTGTTGGCTTACCATGTCCAGGGTAAGGACTGAAGGGTTGGGAATGAAGGCGTTGCCCTTCATGTTGAAATCGGTGTTGGGAATATTTCCGATCTTGATATCGGTGATATTGAAGCCCTCGAGGTGGTTCATTCCTGGTGAGAGAAAGGTTAGCAATTGGATAATAGAGTGTGTATAGACAAGAGTGTGGCTCACCCTTGAGAGTAGTAGTCTTGTCGTAGTCGACGTCTGTCTTCTGCAGGCCACCGAGCTTAAGCTTGGTTGTGCCGACGATGTTGAGCTTGACTTCCTTGGAGAGCATGATGGCCTTGGAGAAGGCGGAGAAGCCATCTGAGTTCTCGATCTTGACGTCCTGGTCGATGACGGCCTTGACTCCGTCGTCGGCCTTGACCTGGGGAGTATGGAGGGTCATGAAGGACTCCTGCTGGCCCTCCAGGTAGACTTTGGCCTCGAAAGGGTCGAGAGTAGGGTGGTACTTTGACTTGGAGCCGATGACCTGGGTTACCTTGACGTGGAGCGCATCTGGTCTTGGGTTGGTGGTCTGCATGTCTGCGATGGTGAGGGTGGAGGCAGAGACATCTTCCTGCGCTAGTTTGGGGTATGCGACGAATATACTACAATATCATCAGCATTGAACAAAGATATATGTATATGTATGTAGGTATAGAATAAGCTTGGACCTACACTGGAAGGACGATGACCAGGACGACTATGACGAAGATGATGGCCAGCAGCCACCAGAAACGACGACAGAAGGCGCCAATGCGAGACCCCAGCGACCTCTTGGGGACGGTGTCGATGGTCTCGATGTTGTGTTTGCCGGTCATGGTGGTGGTGACCCTTTCCTCTGTGGCTGGGAGGGGGATGTATAGAAAGAGAGGAAAAGCGAAGGGAGAGAGAGAGAGAGAGAGGCCGGCGACTGTCTCTCTAATATATGTATATGCAAGTCAAGCCCCCCGACACCGCGTAGAGATGAAGGGTAACTTGGGGGGGAGGAGGAGGGTCTAAGATGTTGATATGTACGGGAATGCCAGGCGGTGGTTATGTATAATGTCAGGCAAATATATATGCAATATAAACTAGAGAGCACCCCCCTGGTTAGCGCGGACAGTCAAAAGCAAGAGAAGAGGGCACAAATTGTCGCACGATGACGCCGGATTGCATGTTGTTCATGCAACAGAGACGGAGAAATGGAAAGGGGGGGTTGGTGGTGGAATGTTAGAGGAACGCCGGTCCTACCTGAAGTCCTGTGCCAGCAGCACTCAGAAGTGAAGCAGAAATTAGAGAGAAGGAGGAGAGAGAAGAAGAAGAAGCCAGCGGCCAGCAAGGAGTCTGCGACGGTGGGAGATGAAGGGACGGGGGGGGAAGGCCGGGCGGCTTGTTATACTTAAAGCAAGGACGGCGTCAAAAAGGCATGAGACAGACGAACGAACCCGCAGCCAGCCCGAGAAAGAAAAGAAAAAGCCAAAGAGGGAAAAGAAACGAAGGGACGCCAGCATGCGCAGGGATATTCTGGCATGTTAGAAGACTAAGTAGAAGACTAAGTAGAAGACGAAGAAGAGACGAAGAAGAAGACGAAGAGAGCAGGCGAGCAGCGACAGCTCGGTGGAGGCGACCTTCTTTGCTTTTTCTCTTGTCCTTTTTTTTTTACTTTAACATGCCCGGGATACAACTACGAGCTGCTACGCGGACGGCCATACGGAGTACCGTGTCTCCAATCCAACGGGGTACGGGGACGAGGAGGAGGAGGGAGGAGACGGTGATCGAGGGACGGCGGTTGGGCGGGCGGCGCAGGGAGAGAGAGAGAGGAGAAGGCCCATCCTGACCATATTTTTCACTTAGTGATTAACTTACTTCCCCGTGGAGAGCTGCGAGATGGAGATGGAGATGGGGGATGCACGATGCGAGATGCACGATGGAGAGAGTCCGGGGTAGCCAGAGAGTGAAAGGGGAGAAGAAGCTCGTGATGCCGACGAAGCTATAGAGCTGGCAGTTATAGCGAGTAGTCACTCTGAGTCTGCCTTCTTCTTCTTCGTCTTCTCCTAAGTTCGTCTTCTTCTTGCTTGTGTTTTTTAGTCTTTAGCGTTCAAGGAGAAGAAGAAAAGAAGGAAAAAGCATGTGAGGAAGAAAAAGCATGGGTCGAGGAAACCTTTTGGCAAGCTCTCGCATGTCCTTCTCTCTCTCTCTCTCGATCTCTCTCTCTCGATCTGCTGCACCTCTGGACTTCCCTTCTTCTGGCAATCTACTTTGACATCGTCTTCTCTGTCTCTCTGTCTTCCTTTCACTATCATCATCATCATCTTCTTCGTCTTTTTTTCGTCTTTTCTTCTTCGTTTTCTTCTTCTTTTCTTCTTTTTTTCTTCTTTTTTGGTTCTCCTGAGGTGGGGCCAACCTAGTCCCGTTTAGGCCTTAGCCCCGTTCCGCCCTTTGAAAACTCTGCTGTGATTATGTAATGCCGAGGTAGAACTTTATTTTTCTTGACTCGAACAGAAATTAATTCCATTATTTTATAGGAAGAGAGAGAGAAAAAAAAAGGGGGGAGAGGGGGGCGATTGGGTTTGCAGGAGTCCGGGGAAGCAGTCGCGGAGTGCAGATAAGATGAGATCAGATCAGATCAGTCAATAGTAATAATGATAATAATAATATCCGTAAGTGCTGATACTTACATAGGGGAAGAGGAAGAACGAAAACGAGCAGGCCAACAACACATGCCGAAGAGCCAGCCACCCCCCCCGCACGTGACAAAAGAGAGATTTGCGACGGGCATCCCGTAGATCATGGCAAGCCAACCGAGAGCAAAAGAAAGACATCAGCCAGCAAAGGAAGAAGAAGAAGAAGAAGAAAAGAGACTCTCGTTGCTTTTTTGGAAGAGCTTGCCATGCGAGCGACACAGACCAGTCGGCGTGCATATTTAAGTAGCATTTTTTGNCTCTTTTCTTCTTCTTCTCCTGCTGCTGCTGCTGCTGCGGCTGGCGGCGTCGGCTTGCCCGTTTCTACTTAAGTATAACAGCTCGAGCACCTTTGACGATGGCACGGCAGAGCTACGGTGACGTGCATGCCCACGGTGATGGCCGGTAAGTCGTAGTCGTAGTCGAAGTCGAAGTCGAAGTCGTAGCTCTCTCATGACTTCATGGATGGAGTTGGATCGACGAGCATGGAGCCCGAAGGTGAGACGAGTCGACTTGGATGCTTCGGACAGAAGCCGTCCTGGGACAGAGACACTGACTGAGACTCCGTTTTGCGGAGAATGGATAATAATGGGGTTGAATGAGATGGAGACCGTCAACTAAGTACATAGTTACTTACGGATAGGATATACTTACTTACTACTGGTGTACTGGCTGACATATGCCCGATGCAAGTGTTGGGATAGGCCGGCGGACGAAAGGCAGCGATGGCCACTGCGGGAGGGGGACAAGCAACTCCCTCGACCGGCAAAGCCGTTTCATCGGCATCTCCTCTCAATTGCTTAAAAACTCCTCGTCCTCCTCCTCGTCCTCCTCCCCGTCATCGTTCTCTTCTTTCATATGACACCGAGTCTGCATGCTGCCACCTGCGGCCCATGCTCCCGCTGCCAGCTTACCTAGTCTGCTTTGAGACATCTAACCGCTGACTATCATAAGAACACCCCAAGGTACACCCACAATTACGCCTGCCGAGCCGCTCAAAAACTTGACTCTCAAACCCTTCAAACCATGGCAAAAGGAGGCCTGACCTTGGCCGATTCCGGGGTAAAAGTGAAAAAAAGGCTAAAAGAGGAGGCTCGGCTAGCGTGGCCCTTTTTTTACGAGTCCTCCGCGGCCGGGGAAATGAGGGTCTCTCGTGTTAATTTCCGACCCTCGCAACGCAACGCAACGCAACCTGGGGTTTGTCTGGAGAAAGGATGAGCAATAGTAATAATCTAGGAGAACGTTGGTACGCAGAAGATGATGCTCAAACGTGCAATTGGGCCTAAAGAACTATATATAAGGGAATAAATATATAATAAGTATGTAAGATGATGTTATGTATGATATATATAAGAAAGGGGGTAAAGTTGTGAGAGATTAGTAAGCAAAGGGTATCCGGCACCAAGAAGGTATAGATATATATACAGTTGGCAGAAGTAGATTGGGGAGGGCGGAAGGAAACGAAAAGACGAAGATGTCAAGAGAAGAAGAAGAAGAAGAAGAAAAGCCAGAAGTGAATGTGATAGAGCCGAGGAAAGAGAGTGGTGGGTCGGTCAGTCGTCAGAGGGTTTCTTGCGGCCAAAGATGCTGCGGCTGCGTGTGCGAGACTTGGAGCTTGTCGACTTGACGCTGCCTCCCCCTTTTTTCTTCGACACCGCATCGTCGTCCATGTACTTGTCCTTGTAGATCCTGCATCCCATTCATATTACATTAGCATTCACTGCCATCACAGACCGAAAAAGGGGGGAGAGGTGGTTAGCGGAGATGGGGAGAAATATACGTACCAGCTACTTCCTACCATGCTCATGCCTTCCTTCTCGGCCATGCGGTAGTACTTGGCCGCCTTCTTCAGGTCCTTCTTGCAGCCGACGCCCTCAGCATAGCAGTAGCCGGCTTCAGCCATGGCATCGACATCCCCCCACCGTCCTGCAATCTCAAAGCATCTCAGTGCAAGAGCCTTGTCCTGTCCCACGCCCCAGCCGTTCAGGTTGCTCACGCCCAGCTCGTAGATGGCCAGTGCCAGTTGGGCCTGGCGCGCTTTCTGCTCCGACATGTTCATCTTCCCGCTGCCGCTGCTCGATAGCAGCTTCTGCAGTGCTGCGTCGCAGGTCTCCGGGCTAGGCGGGTTGCTGCTCGCCAGATCGAGCCCGGCCGTGTCGACTGCTCTGCGTAACCACTGTACACCTTCCGTCTGGTCGGCGCGGCGGCCCCAACCGTGACGGCAGGCGAGGGCGTACAGGAGCATTCCGGTTGGGTGGTTCTGCATGGCTGCAAGGCGCAGGTGGTAGGTTGATTCCTTCAGCGAGCCCGACTCGTGGCATTCAATACCCCTCGTTACATGCTCTTCGGCCGTCGTTGGCTCGTTTTCTGCGTCTTTATCCTTCTCCTTCTCTTCTGCAGGGGTGGCACGTACGGTGCTCTGGCTTTGAACGGATACTGATTTGGTCTCGGCGTTGGCTGAAGCAATGCTCGTGCTGGATTGTTCCTGCTCAAGCGACGGCCGCACCCGTTTGATGCTCTTCGCTGGAGACGTTGTGTTTGGATTCTGAATCGGTGTTGGGGTCTCTGTCCGTATCTGTGTTTGCGTCTGCGTCTCTGTTTGAGACTGAGTCTGAGTCTGAGTCTGGTCCTGGGTAGATCCAGGATCCGTGATCGATCTCTCAAATTGAGGGGGCTGGAACTCTCCTTGCAGTTCGCCGCCATTGAAGGTCTTGGAGTCCCGTGAGATCAACCGGCCGCGGGGAAGGGAGAACTTCGCATAGATGTACGACTGTCCAGCCGAGAGGGGCGGTTCAGTGGCCTCGTCCGCAGAAGGAGACGGCGTGGCCAGAGGTGCCGGCACGGTTATGGGTGCTGGTTTGTTTTCCCTGTTCAAGAACGAATTGGCCGTAGCCGTATTACCCGTAGCCGGAGAACTCGTAGCAGAATCATGTACGGAGTGGGAAGTATTAGATCGGCTCATCGGCCGTGAGAAATTAAAAGATGGCTTCGTTAGGTTGGGTGTCATGCTTCCTCCTGTTCCCGCCTCTGAGTTTGGCGACGGGGACCGCTGATATGCTCGGCTCATTTGTGACGGTTGGGGCGAATGGAGCATCGATATGCCGCTGCTCGACGACATTTTGCGAGGCAGTGAGAATGTTGATTTCGCGCTCGACCCGTCATCGTCTGAGCTCTCCTGTGTAGAGCCTGCTGGGCTGCTGTAAGACGGTAGTAGCGGGGGAGGCGCGAGGTGATTATGCTGCTGTCCGGAGTTGTTACTATTGCTGCGTTGTTGCTGTTGGGTTGCGTAGAATCGGGTAGGTGAGCCACCAGGCTGTGGTGAATGAGAACGTACAACATGCAGTCTATTGTCTATAGTCGGTCCGGGGCCAGGAGAAGGTGTTCTGCCTCGTTCACGCGAGCCATCCCGGTTCCAGAATGTGTCTGGAGAGTTGGCGCGGGGGATCCCATACGCGCTATTTCCAACCGACCTGGTATCCCAGCTATCATCTATAGGGAACGTATTTCCAGTGCTGGTGTTAAGAGGGAGCCCGCTGATTCTGGGATGTTGTGACTTGGGCCTAAAGGAAGGCTCCTCGAGCGACATGCCGTTGCTGAACGGCGCTCTCTCCGCTTCTCCTCTGCCCCGTCCTCTCTGCTCGAAGTTGAACCCCGCGCGCATCGGCGTCTGGGCCTGCCTGGTATCCTCATCAGACAGCGTCCGATGGTACCCTCCTCTCGGCTGGGAAAGTGACCGCTCCACACTCGCTGGCGGCAGCCGGCTTAACCTGCGGCCAGCCTTGCGGGACTCATCAAATTGCTTAGCCAACAGCCGGCCCTGGGCTGCAAAGGCATCGAGCGGAGAGAGGGCGGGAGGAATCTCGCCTGCGACATGTTGTAAGCGGGGGGAAACTAAGGGACGACTTGGATGAAGTTGAGTTGGTGTTGGAGACTGAGATGGTGACGGTGACCGCGCTTGCGGCTTCGATGCCTGGAGCCGGCTTGTGGACTGTTGAGAGGTCGAAAGGGAGTCCGGCAACGGAAGCTCGTTGTTAGGGGCCGCCATCAGGTTTTATCGGGCAAGCAATCAGTTGCGACTTCGATTCGGGGGTAACGATGGTATTTTTGAAATGGAGTGCGTTGATTCTCGTTCGGGACATCGATAAATGCTGGTCTTTGTAATCGTCTTCCTTCCGCTTCTTTCGACTTTGTTGGTTGTAAAAGGAGTGTCTGGGTTGGGGAAGCTAGAGAGCACGCCCTGCCTCTGCCGTCATATCATCACGATAAGCGGGCTGCGATGTTCGAAACAAGGGGTCTCGATGTTTGAATATATGTATGAATGCCTGGCGAGGTGTCGTTCGAAGGGGGGAATTTTCCTGATGACTGTCGAAAATGTACGGGCTCAACCTAAGGCCGCGAGTTAATTATGGGAAAAGAAAGGGAGCTAAGCAAATTAGTTAAGGGAGACAAGGGGCAGTTCATGCAGGGGCCGAACTAACCCAGGGCGGAGCGATATAGATTGGGCCAGCCGGCTAAGACAACGACATCGATGGAGACTCACGTTGTTTCTTCACACAAGATGGGTCCTCCAGACGAAGAACCTGTCACCAAGATTGTCGCTCGCTGTCAAATTTTTCCCCCGTTTGAAATTTCTTTTTGCTGCTCGGAGTTTAACGTCCATGGGCGGCTCAGCTTTGCCTTCGGGGTTAACTCGTTAACTAACCAACTAACGAGTTAGCCATCAGGTTCGCGATCAGTCGAATACGAGAACGGGGAGGCGAGCTTACTAAGGCCGTTGCCTTGAAAAACCCACGCAAGAAGGCAGCTGGAGTGCTCCTGATGGACGCAGGCGGACAGGAGAGACAGCTGAAACGACGCAGGTGGTGGTGAGATGGGCTTGCATCGGGCCTGTGTTTGATGGTACTGCAGTCCGACGTGAAACCGCAGCAGAGCCGACAAGGGGGCAGGGAAAAGAACGGCTTCAGCGATATCAAGTGGCGACGCAAGAAGAAAACATCAAGATTGTTCGTTCATTCATGATATCCAATCTATCTATACAATACAGAAAAGCAGAAATTCATCAAAAAAAATTCACAAGAAGAAGCCGAAAAAAAAAACATCGAGGGAGTAAAAACTTCCGCTTTGGATATCCAGATATCACGTGAAGCATATATACCCATTATATATGTCCAAAATATAGACGTCGTCTCTTTGTACAAGGAATAGACATGCACGTCTTCGAGTTAACAAAGAAGAGAAAAGGAAGAAAATATGAGACGACTGATAACTCAGGGGAAGCTGTCGAGGTACTTGCGGTGGGGGTTCAGGAATCCCCAGTTGGAGAATTTGTCCCAGTTGATGGACCAGGCCATCAGACCCCTGAAAGATGGAGATTTACCACCGCGAGGCTTGTAGGTCCCGCAAGACTCGCCCTTCATCAAGCAGTTCAGGGCGTCCTGTACGCCCTTTTCGTCAACGAAGCCGTTGCCAGCGCTGACGGTGGATGGTAGTCCAATGGCAATCTGGTCCTCTCGCAGCGGTGGGAAGGTGTTGTTCGTCTTAGCCACGGGGAAACCAGCCTTGAGCATATCCGCCATGGCAATGAGGAAGTCCGGAGTGCCGACATTATGGTACTGGTCGTCAAGACCAATGATCGGGCCGGAGTTGTAGTTCTGTACCTGCAGAACAGTCAAGTCGTCTCGCATGGCGTGGATGACAGGCAGATAGGATCCCGCGCGAGCATCGTTGCCGTTCGAGGGGCCATAGGAACTGTACCCCAGCTGCACGAAGAAAGTCTCAGGTGCCATGGTCAAGACGAAGGCCTTGCCTTACTTTTCCTTCAGAGACTTCAAGGCAGCAATCAAGTTGACAACCACGGGCGTCTTTGGATTCTTGAAGTCGGTGTCTCCCTGGTCGAGGTAAAGAGAGTGCCCCTCAAAATCGATATCCAGGCCGTCAAGGCCGTATTTGTCGATGATACCTCCCACCGAGCTGACGAATTTATCCCTTGCCTCGGTCGTTTTGAGCTGGACCTGGCCGTTCTGCCCTCCGATTGATAGGAGTACCTTCTTGCCTTTGGCTCGCTTGGCCTTGATGGCAGCCTTGAATTCCTCCTCACTTTCGACGTTAGGGCATTCTGTCTTAGGGCACATGGCAAACTTGATCTCCCCCGAGTCCACAGATGTAGGCTCCCCAAAAGATAGTTCGATAATGTCCCATTCATCAGGAACATCTGCAAGTTTCAGATAGCCAGACCCGTTAGCAAAGCTTGCATGTAGATACCCGATCATTGCATGCTTGTTGAGCTCCGTCCCGTTGGTTGGAAATGGTCTAGCCACTACCGTAATCGCCACGGTCAGGGCCGCAAGTATGGTGAAAGGGGTCTTCATGGTGTGCTTGATCCCGCAAGTGCGTGACTCGGTTGGTGGTGTGTCAAAGGGGAGAAATTTGATATTGCCCTATTCAGGCTGTGTCCTTGAACAGGTGTCTCGGAAAGGCTTATAGAACTATCTGTCTGTTTGGTTAGAATATGAGACATATCGTTTACCCATTCGAATGCCTTTATATATCCATCCTCTCGTGGCCACTGTTACACAACCGAAGATGCTGTTGATATGTTAGAGATGACTTTTGGACGTCATTCTTCCTCATGACGTGCACTGGTGCCGGTCCAGGAACACCACTACAGAAATTTTGCACGTCATCCTTTACCTCTCTGTGGCTTACATCTTTGACATTTATCGGTGAGATGTTGGACATAAACGTTTTGATAGCTCTTGTGAACATTACGGGGGAATGGGATACTACCCACGGATGAAGGGACCACCTATTGAGTATGGGGTGATCGTATTTGGAAAATCTAGCAACAGCCGCCTACTCCATCCATGTACCCTTGATAATGGTAAGGTTTCGACAATCGTCCATTCTCCAGCCCACCCTTTGGTTTAATAGGACACAGACCAGGAGTCAGACATCCAAATACCGCATCACTGCATAGATTTTAGGGGTACCAACCCAATATGCCTTGGCCGTATACCACGCTAGATACTGTGGACAGAATGTTTACTTCGGCTCGTGCCATTGCCCACGTCGGAGAATTCAATATCGCTCCCGTGCAACTGCCCCATTGTCGGGATCGACAGTCAGGTACCGATCCGATGCGGGTGGAACGGTCATACCAAACACTCATGAAGAATATAGTGTGGTCATTATGCCAATATAACTTAATCCACGTGTATATTCGACTAATAGATGTGGGATAAATATGTTAACTCTCTCAGGAATTAGTGCGATATTCTATCTTATTGGGTACACGTTTTCCCTAGTCAGTATCCCAGTGCATCAGCTGGAGAGTTTTTTTGGATCGGCCGACCAGCTCGTGAACGGTCAGGTTGTCGTGTTGTCGTCCATCACACCTCGGTAGAAATCCTGGGCGCTTGGGCTGGCAGTTAGTCGCGTGACATAAGGCCAGTGCAATAAGCGCGAGTCGTAGGAACGCCTTCGTTTTAATAAATACCGATATCATTTTCGATTGTAGCCTCTATCATCTCTGCCAAATGGTCATCTGTGATGATCACATGCTCGCAGCTTTTCGAGGTTGAATTTCGGGGCCGGCGATATAATACAATTTGTCAGAATTCATGAAGGCTGGATGGAAATAAAAATTGAAAATTGAAGAGTTACACAAATATTCAGCCATATCGATGGCAAAAGGGAGCCTTTCAATATAGATATATAAAATGCGAGATGTATGGAGTATAAAAGGGGCATTGAACTGATTGAAAATCACCGTCCAATTAAATTAATGTTCTTAATAAGCTAATTTGTTTATTCCAGCCAATAGTATTTGACTAATTCATTTGCTAATTAGTAAAATTATTTTATTCGGTCCTCTTTACAATGCGCTAAACTCTATTTCCAAGTTAAATACAACGTTAGTTTCATTTCAGTTGATAATCCACTCGAATCTACAGTATTGGGGAAATTGATTGAAAATACCAAATTAAGGGCATGGGGCCAATATTAGGAAAGCCATGGTCTAGAGATAGACGATCGACTTCTAACTACAAGATAAGATACCCAAAAATTGTTTCCACGAATCAATCGGCACACTACCTGATTCAGCAATCAGGAAAATACTTTTATCCCCGATAGTGTTTAGCCTAAGCGCAAAATGGACTTCCAGAACCGGCCTCACCTCTTTCTTCATCTTGGCCAGTTTGGGCCTGTTCCAAAACGGAATAGTGGAAATATCTCAGCAGCATTTGCACAACTTTCAGAACTATCCTCCAACTGAAACTTGCAATAAATGTCGACTCGGTGAAGAGCGATGTCACTAAATCCTTCCTTTTGGGATATCTCCGTTGCTTTGTAGAGGCGGAGCCCCTGGTGGTCTTGTTGTTGGCTTCCAGAGCCTAGCAGAGTATGCCTTGCCGTGACGCTTAGCAAGCTCTACTGGCAATGCTGTCTTTGGTGTCAACAGAGATAAATTCATTTGGAACACGGCCAATCTCACCTCTGTACCCATCCCCCATATCGAGAAATTTTTGTTTTCATACAGTGCTTCTAACACTACAGGAAAGTCTTCTCAAGAGAAAATCGATCAGTAAAAGATCCAAGTCCTCTTCATTCAATGGGTCTAGGCCTCTATACTGTGGGAATTGGATATAGCCCCAGTAATCCCCAGTAATAGATGTTGCGCCGTCCCTCTTGCAATTATATACTAGTAGTCTTGTTGAGCGCACCGCCTGCCCGTTAGCTAGATTCGATCCACCTAGGTAAACTCAATCTCCATGCTGACCCTAGTCAGCATATTATGCCAGCCATCTTTGGTACAAATAGCCCCCTCAGCGTTCCACCCTTTGTTCATTGCTTCAAACGTATCCATGGATCTTCCGGATTTGTTATACAACGGATGCACCCGTACATAAACAGGTGATCAAAACGATCCCGATAATCAGTCTTACTGCAGGTATCTGGAGGGTGACCATTTTAAGCAACGAAAAAAATTGTAAAAAAAAAATCCTATCAACAGGACTTTTGGCTCGTAAGCTCTCGTGTCAACCTTTCGAAGGGCCCCTTCACATATTTGCAAGCGATATCCAGCATGATCTGGGAGCTATCAATGTCTAACCAACGTCTAACATTTCTGCCCCAGGGGCAAGTATGGGAACCCTGATTTTATGGAGTCCAGCACTATGTGTGTATTCGTCTTCGTCACTCTCCAAGAACATCAAATAAGCCGTCCACATCAGTAGCCATTCTAGGTGTCTGAAAACAATTAGCATCGCACTATCCATTACAACCCAAGTCTAAATGAAAGAGAAAACACTCACTAGGAATCTACAAGTTCGGCCTTACTACGAGAATTTAAGAAGTTACTATTTTATTCACATATGCCCGGTTCTTGAGTTACCTCTGAGAAGTCTGTAAAAAGTAACTTATTCTCGGCTAGGGTTATCCACAACGTTTGGAAGAGTGCAGCTGCAAGTTTCGGTTTCTATATTATTATACTGTACGGCAACCTGGAGAGCATTGCCTCAAGAACCCGAGAGCTAGACGTTTTCGTTGGACTGATAATTATAAAGCGACTTTATCTTGATATTCCAATTAGTAACTACTGGAGGGATCAAGTTACTGGTCAGCCTGCTTCAATTTGGTGAGATGAAGCGTGGGAATCACTCTCAAAAAAGATGGCTCACAACCTCAGCCAACAGACGTTCCTTCTCATGACACATATTACTAGCACGGATGATGCACCGGATATGGAGTCTTGGTTTTCCTCTGGTGCCGGCTCCTGAGTGGCTACCTGACCAGGCGCTGAGGGCCATTGAAACTAAGCAATCTCTCCTCCCTGTCATTCCTACTGGTTAGTTTAACGAACATACGACTGCTTTGTGTTGTAACCCTTGTTATCCAGAGATAAGCTCCGAAGTCTGTTTTCATGTGGCTATGGAGAACTCACGACCAGTAGACTAAAACAAACATTCCATGGTACTCCGTAGATACTTTGCTACGTGAGCTATGCGATATCGGGCGCGGAGATATGTACAGACATAGCCGCGATCAATTGCAAAGGTCTCTGAACCGACCACAGCCTCCTTTTACATACCGTCTGTCTGTCGCATGTCCGTCACTCGATCTTGTGTTGGCTTTTTCGTCTCGTCGTTGCTTGTTCTCGAGCCTCGTCTTGCTGACTCATCTCTTCTCGTAAAAGCGGGTCACTGCAGCCAATAGGATCTCTGGTAGAGCGCTCCACAACTTCCCGCTAAGCTTAAAGCTTCTAAAAACAACTCAAGGGCGTTTTTCGACCTCGCGATAGTTTTCTCCCCCTTTGCAGGTGCTGCCAGAGCTACCTCGCGTTCTGCGATATATAACTTGTCGCTTTTCCCTCGCTACTCATACAATGCATGGTCTCGCCTAAATTACCTGATTTAATGCGCCCATGGAAGCCCGTCTATTAATATGCAAACAAGAACTCCGTCAGGGGTTGGCGAAGCTCCAACATGTTCTGAGCTCGAGCGGAGTCCCATCATGGTCAGGATACGAGGTGCAGGGCTAAGCCCCATGAGAAAATAGATTGCAAGGGACGGGATGAGAAAGCCAAGCATGTTGGGTTAATGTGATGAGGCCGTTTTCTCCATGCGCGTTGGTATATATTATGAAAGGAGTTCGCTGTCCTGCTAATAATGGAGAACTTCCAGTCCAACACTGCTGTCACACTAACAACCTCGAGTGTTACCGATGACTCCAGCTAGGCCGAATATCCATTGCAAGTAAACTGATATTTATTTTCAATTTTAGTTGACATACAAACTACTTTGGTGAGTGCCACATATTTTGCTGAGGTGACTCACACATGTTTGCTCTCAGATTTGCTGGATAATTTACTGATCAAATCCAGGGCCTACCTCTAGTCACGCAGCAGACGTTGACTTCATATTCTGTTTCGGAGATATTGATACCTTCGAAGGCATGGCCCCTCTATCTCTCCTCCGACGGTCCTCCAGTGAGCCACACCACCTTGCAAAGAGATATTATCATTACAGCTATGGGCCCACGGTTGGAGGAATTATTGGTGGGATAATTTTCTTCATCTTGATAATTGTCCTTCTCTTCCGACTACGACGAAGAAGACCTGCCACTACTACCTATGTTGCACCCCAAGCATCAGCAGCAGCGACAGCAACTTCAGGAGCTCAAGGAAACCAAACCAACGTATATGTCATGGGGCAGGGCGGGCCTCTGCCACCACAGCAAATCCCCTTGCAGAACACAAGCCCTCAGCCCTATCCCCAACAACCTTTCCCTCAGCAGCAACCGTACAATCAACAGCAGCAGCCATATCCTTACCCTGCCCAATCTCCACCGCCTCAGGAGCAGCAACAACAGCAATATGGGTATATGCCGAACCAGGGTCCTGCCCCGCCCCAACAGACATATGCACCACAAGGCCAGCCAGGATATCAGCAACCTTATTATCAAGGAGACGGCATTTCTAGCTACCCAGTGGGAGCTCCACCACCGAGCTACAAGGACCCAAACAAGGCTTAAAATGAGATAAGCTACTGGCCGCCTTTCCCAATCCCCTCTTTCAGTACGTTCTTTAGCAACTCCTCGTTTTTGTTGCACTTTGATGAAGATGCATGCACGTGAATTTCCGCGAGTGGTATGACCGAGATTTTTTACTTTTCTTTGTTCGGAGCATAGAGAGTTTGTACTTCTTCTGCTTAGTCTATATACAGATACCCAATATTTTAGTGACTTCTACACTGCATTCTGATTTCCATACGTCCGTCTGTATGCTTGTTATAGAATTATTGCTCGGCCCATAGTATCCTTAACAGGCCCGTGCTGAGCTCGCCACTATCCGCAATGCGGTTTCCATGTCAGGCCCGGAATACCGCACACCCACCAAACTCCGTTTCCCTCTCCAGTTTTTATAGTAGTATGAGATCCCCTGTCTAATCTCAAAAGATGTTCTGTGCTTGTGGATATCCGGAAAGCTTATCAATGTATCGGGTCGCTTGTCTCCCCGTAGGTGATGTAATTTGATACTCGTCAAGGATGGGAAAAGTTCTCGGAGCCTTGGAAGGATTGAGATCCACCCATTAGTACTTAGTCTAATACGTGTGAGAGAAAGATATCGCAAACTAGAGCGAAAATAATGAAGAAAATCAATAAACCCTTCTGGGGAGGAAAATTCGCAAGCCTCTAGAACAAGTTCTTTCAAGGGAGGAAGAACATTGGCCAAAGTGAGACGGTCAAAAAGTAGCGGCGCATTGTCAAACTCGTTCAGCCGGGCTGTTAATGTCGTCAGGCTGGTGGCGGCTCTTATCAGTTCGCAGGTCCAGTCGATACTGCTTTCGAGCTCTTTCTGATAGTTTAACGTAAGGCATTGAAGCTGGGACAACCCAGCTCGAACGCCCAACTTATGAAGAGCTGAAATATCCAGGCGTTCCCCCTGGATATGATCACCGTATCTCCATCCTCGAGCAACTCCACGCTCAAGCATGAGTGATTTCACCGGGAATGCCGTTTCGGCCATAATATATAGGAGAATCTTTATCGCATCACTTCCCCCTAAGAAATTAGAAGTGTATTGATGCTCTCGCCGATAAATATGATGGACCTCGAACGAGCGGCAATTGACCAAGAGCATCAGGACATCACTGAGAATATCCACTATATGTTGAGGGACAATGAGGCACCCAGAAGAGGACCTATCCCATCGCAGGTCTACCCCCAGTTTCCCATGGGTTTGATTCATGATAGATAGGCAGTGGACGTATCGGTTCAAGTACCGGTGACTGGATATAGCCTGTAGCCTCTGTAGACTATGAGACGAAAAATCCAGGGGCACAGTCGCCAGGAAGACGCCAAAGCAGCGCAAAGTTCTCTCATATAAGAGTCGGCATGTGAGCCGTAATGAGCATAGGCTTTTATACCGAAGGAAGCTGGCGATTATCTCCACGATTTCCATGGGCATTCCGTAAAGGGAGGGACATGCATCTTGGTCGAGGTCCTGGGACATCGAAAGCAGCGATGGTCGAAAGGACGAGAATATGCCAAAGAACCGGCCTCGGCGGCTCCGTGCCATCTTTCTGGGGTTAAGCAAACAATAATGATACTGCAGGAACGGTGCAACTCTGTCCAGGAGTCTGCAGGACCAGGGGAGCGCCTCCAGGCGTCGGGTTAGCTATCCCAGAGGACAAGGATATCAAAAGGAGTGAGCCCACCAGATGTCTCACTCTCTCGCCTTTAGTTATTATATTCCAATAACCATTAGTTAGCAGGCCAACTTCCAGGACAGAATCCCATCTATCGCGGTATCTGCGCCTATTCTGGTGGTGTTCAGCCAGACATGCAAGCTGGGCTCCGTATGTAACTCTCGCGGTAACATCCGTCCGGAGGGAGGGCCCCCCAAGAACCAAAGTCCCACCCAGCCTAAAGTCAAGATAGGGCATAATATCCCACGCTCGAGCTTGCTTGCAACTAATGGTTAACGCCAGCAACCCCCTTCGAAACCGGCTTAACTATTCCAGCATGATCTCAGCCGTGGATGTAGCGCGCGAGCATCACAAGATTCGAGGCCCAGCCCGGATTCGCCGCTAAAGCGAAGGCTTGAGAGCCACATCCTGGACCAAGAGCATCACCTGGTGCAACGTCTGCGCCGGCGCCGGCTTTGACCGTCGTGCGAGAGATGAACAGCCGTCTTCGTCTTTCGTCTTCCCCGTTCGTGCTGCAGTTAGGTCCTCGATTGCACCCGCAGCCGCGAGGAAACTCCTTTCTGCCGAATCGGTGGCAACGACAATCTCTCGCTCCCTTGTTTACACCCTGGACAGTATAATAATCATATACACACAACAAGATTCCCCCTTGCCTCTTGCTCTGTACAATATCCAGGCTCCACGAGCAGCTATTATGCGATAGATAATAGTCTTGGTTGAAACGGATAAGCCAGTTATCCACGATGCGCTCGTTCATGAGCCTTATGGGCGCGGACCCTTCGCAGGACCATCTCCATGCCTTCGAAACCTCCTGGCTCTTCTCGCCCTTCGTCCTCGGGTGCATTCGAGCTGCCTTCTCGCTCTATGCTTTCGTGACCATATTCTTCATCATCGGATGGCGGGCAGTGCACCACCAGGTCGACAACATGAAGGACATGTTCGTCTACTTCACCAACCTGAGCTACTGGGGAGTAGCTTTCTACTTCCTCTTTGCCGCGATTCACAGCTTCGTCTACGCGCGGACGGGGCGCTCCGTGTTCTTCGATAAGGCCCCGCGGTTCCTGCGCGCGCTGCATAGCTTGCTCTATTCGTCGATTATCATCTTACCGATCATTGTCACGATACTGTACTGGACACTGCTCTTCGGCGGCCCATGGTTTCCAGAGGTTTTTGAGGCCTGGTCAAATGCAAGTTATTTTTATTTTATTTTATTTTTATTATATTTTTCTTGGTATCCTTCCCGCAAAAGTCAGTGTTGAGACATTCTAACCCATCTACAGGTTTCCAAGCATATTATGCAAACGGGATATGCCATTTTTGAGCTCGTTATCCCAGCTACGGAACCTCTTCCGCTCCTCCATCTGCCATTCCTCATCATCATACTCCTCCTATACACAGCGTTGGCCTTCCTCAACCACTCGATAAACGGATTTTATACCTATAGCTTCCTTGACCCTGGAGTTAACGGTGAGCGTAGCAATCTCGTGACCGGATACTCGTTCGGGATTGCCATTGGGACTGCTCTTCTGTTCAGTGCATCATGGTTTATAATCTGGTTAAGAAAGCGCCTGACCGGCAGCAAGAGAATTCTTGCCACACCGCCAGTACGAGTGGACGAAGAAATAGCGATGGGTCCAGAAAAGTGACCATAATTTATCCTCCTTGCTGCACTTCAACAAATTAGCGAAAGATATATAATCTATGATGCGCGTTATTTCTGGTTGGAGTTCATTTCTCCTGTATCCTTCGCGCTCACTTTCTTCTGAATATACGTTTCTTGTTAGGTAGGGGATACCTTATCCCCTTACTCCCAAAGTTGTTGGAAGGGCTAAACTCTACGATGATCAAGCGTCCTTCCACCCTGATTAATGATGTATCTACTCCGTATCTAGTGGTTTAATATTAATTCTACAAGGTCTGCTCAGCCCTTCATAGTATATTTTTGCGATTTGTTTATACGAATTTTTGATATATTCAAAGTGTCAGCTGCTATTAAAAAGTTCGTAATATACATGTCAAGATGACATCCCAAACATAACTCCCGCTTGAAAGAAGATCAGTCATGACAATAAAAAGTGAGGGAAGAGACAAAGGTAGGATAATATAAGATAAAAATACATTTAGTGCTTGGGCAAATAGACAACACCTTTTAGGCACCTGCAACTCTCTCCCAGCCTGCCTCGCTGCTGCTTGCATTGCCTTCGTCGGCCGTTGGTGGTTCGGCGTAGATATCAAGAGAGCTAGGTCGCAGACCAAGTATCCATCCAATCATTCCACCAGGGATGATCCGCGAAATGATGCTGTATGCAATAGACCCCCGACCAACATGAATAGTGCGAGGCTTCTTTTTGCGCCATCCAAAAATGGTCTTTTTAGATGGAGCAATCGCGTCGAATATCGCGTAATGCAACTCTCGCGCCGGACTAGAGTTCGGGGCTATATTTATAGGTTTTCCCAGGCGGTAGTCGATGCTCGAGAGATAAGGAGACCCATAAAGAGCCCGCTTGTGCGGCTTCCATGTAAGGAGTTCCGTTCCTTTACTGTTATGTCTTTGTCCACTTCGATATTGGCGACCAAGTTCGATGTTACCAATTTTCACCTCGACAACATCAACAACGCCACTAGAATTGCCATTTGATGAAACTAATAGATTCAGCTCCTGGCGTAAGCTTGTGGCAAAGCCAGATATAGCACGTACAGTCGCTACTTCGGGACTGGCAAATGGAGCGGAGAGGGCGGATTGAATGGCTGGAGATACGAAGACGACGGAAGCGGGATTCGACTTAAGTGTGAGGAGAGGGAGGAGGAATTGAGTGGTGAGGATAGGGTATAAGATATGTGTGTTGATCGTGTCAGCCCAACTGGACGCTGGGATCGCTGCAACCGGGCCCGTAGGGTAGTTGAGGGAGGGTATGAGAATAACAGCGCTCAGCTGACAGGAATGGGCCGGTACCCCAGGTAATGGAGTCTGCGCATGAGTAATCATGGATTGTATCACATAGAGGGAAGGATGTATGTCCGACGGAGTTGCCGGAGTCTATGTGGTTGATTAGAAAAAAGAATGGGCCTAGGGAGTCGGAGCAACGTTATGAACGTACTTGTGAGAGGTCAAACCATAACGACCTAATATCCTCTCGCGCTTCACTCTCGATGACATGTTGTTCCTCTGTTGATGTAACAGTAACGAAGACAATATACCCTCGTTTCTCAAGGTCGCAGGCAATCGATCTTGTCATGGGCTCATGAGGTGAGCCAGATATTACTGTATTCATGGTAAGTAATTCCACAGGATATCTCATAGGTAAGCATTAGGGCATTCAGCAC